CTCGAACTCCTGACCTCAGGTGATCCACCCACCTCAGCCTCCCAAAGTGCTGGGAATACAGGCATGAGCCACTGCGCCCAGACGAAGCATGCTTTCTTAAAACAAAATTTAAAATAAACATTCTGCCACTGGTAGTTGTGGCATCCACTAAGTAACAGCAGTTTTTGCACAGATGTGCCCATCAACTGAGGAATGTACAATGCATGAATCTGAGTTGGTGATGCTGCTCAACAACGGCTCATGTCCTGAGCAGGATAGTGGGGAGTTGAAGCAGCTCATGTGCTATTTTTTCCACATAATCTCGGGCATTCTGTGTATATTTTTATTAACTACCAAATGCCAGCCCCAAACAGAAGATTAAAGCTTCCCTACAAACTGTCAGAAACCTCTGAACAGGATACTGAGACACTCTAAAAGAGCAATTATTTAAACACAGACTTTGTCAATTACTTAGACACAGTCTTCACATTACTATGTTGCCAAGCTTGGAGAAACAATCTGCATTGACTCAGAAATAATTTGAAAACATTTAATGTTGCATTTTATGTGGTCCAACTGCATTAAAACATTTACGTGAAAAGAGGCAAAATGTGGAGATAGTGATCATTTAGAAACTTTACTTCAACAATGTGGAAGTTATTTTCTATAACCAGTACCTTACTGGTCTTCTCTGTGGGTGCATGTAATTCAGAGATCTATTTCTGTAAGAATGCTGTCTATCGCTCAAATGTCAACCTATAACGTTTTGCAATAAAAAAGGCATTTTAACATGGAAACGGTGTTTTCGTAATCCAGATGTGGCTATTACTGTTTTTGATTGTACTAGAGGGTATTTTGATTTTTTAAAAAAACTCCAAGATATAAATTTACATACATATGAGGTCTTCTCCGAACTGATGCTGGCCAATATGCTCAAATAATGACGACAGCATTGGAAGCAGGGCCACTGTGGTGTAATTGATAATCTGAGTAACCCCTTTGGGCTGGTTTCGGGTGTGAGTGAACTGGCCCTGCTTGAGGTTTTCCATAGTCTTCTCCAGATCCTCTGCAGCATTGTCCAGAAAAGCTCTGAGTGCACTTTTAACACTCTCCAGGCCAGTCTTCATCACTGTCCTAGAAAGTAAATAAGGGAGAGCTCGTATCTTCCAACAGGAACAAATGAAATATAAATGAAATGTGGTTCTCCTATGATGTTTATTTCTCCATTACTCTACCCACCTGGTAACTAACTTTTAAAATCAACTCTAAAACAAGTTTTTTCAATATACTTGAAGTTACAGCAGCACTGCTCTGTAAATTATCTTTTCCAAATACCTTTATAGTCAATTTATGAAAACCTCGCTGCAAAAGTCTGTGCTAATGCTGTATGTTTGTCATTAATGGCCTCCAATTTAACAACACACAGTTTCTGAGGGAGTATAGTTAATCCCAAATCCAACAAAACGGAATGTTTCCTGAGGCGATGGGTAGGAAAAGAAAAACATTTCATGTCAGGTAAACCAACTCAACAAATGATACAGAATGTTTGTGTTTTAAGGTGTAGCAATCAAGTCTTTTCTAAAGAAGCCGCTGAAGGCTGAACTTCATACATTAACGCTACTATTTCTAGTAGGAAGTGAGGGTCTGTAATGGTGTCTCCTTTTTGCATTTATAATAGAAAAGATCTTAAATGAAATCTTAGACACAAGAATGGATAATCAAAGAGTATTGTGGAATGTTCTCTTTAGGAGACATTTATAAACTTTTATTTAGATTTATCCTAGATGTAAACTAAATGTATGGCTTAAAGGCTGAACCAATCGCGCTAAATGAACTGATTTTGTATTTGGTCAACATACTAGATTTCTGGTCAAGTTGACAGGGCAGAGTAGAAAGCACACAGATGGGAATTCGTCTACCTACACACTTAGTATGCAATCTTAAACATCACTTTATTCATCTGTAAAATGAGACTAAAACTCTGTTTCCTAAAAAGCCAAATGTTATTATGAATGTTAAGCACAAATATCATGCCTGGAAGCTAATAAGATCTCCAGAATTGTCAGATTACCATTTTTCCTGCATGATACATTACCAATTCAACCCTCCTTTATGGTCCTAGCTGCTACAGAAATTACTTGAGATTAAAATATAATCTATATATGACCATAAAAATAAGCTGCCATTGTATTAATTTATAAAAGATTTTATTTTCACCTACACTAAATACTTCATTACAAATCCAAAGAACAAAATCAAGACTCTGGGTCCTTCTTAACATTCTTAAATATATACATGTATCATTATTATAGTAATTTATTTAAGTAAAAATGTATCCATTTACCTTGCATCCAAAGTCTGACCCAAAATATGAAGACAGTTGACAATTGATGTTGCATCATTGCCTGAAGAGGAAACAAAATGCCGTATAAATTGCCCTGAGAATTTCTCAATGTTCTTCTTTTCTACCAGTATTTGTGCTAGAAAAATTAGTCAATGACACAACTCAACAGCAATAACTTAATTTAAAAGATTTTGTAATAATCAAGTTTGAAATCATGCAGTTTTTCTGCTTAAAAGTGGTTATGCAAATGTAAGTAGAAAAGCAATAAAGCATGTCTCATCAAATAGCTGACATGCCCAAGAAGCATTCAAAAGCATTGCACCGGGCTAAAAGAGTTTTAACTGAGGTTTTCAATAACCCCCTCTCCCTCCCATCTCACTGGATTTTTCAGTCTTATTGGTTACAAACTTTTAAAGTCAGCTCATATCCTTTATGAAATGAGGTGGGCTTAAAGTTTAAAATTTTTAATTCCATTTTAATTGCACCAAGTATTTCTGCTTTCTTATTTTATTCCACTGCATTAAGATGAATTAACTTGCCTGAATTCAATTGCATGAAGGTAAATTAATTTCCTTGAATGTTATTGGTCTTTGGCAAAAACCAAAAAGCACCAAACCATCATGTAAAAAAAAAAAAATCAGAGGCTAAAGAAGTTAAATAATACTCCTATGAGATTTTGAGATGGTAGTAACTCCTCTTGAAAGTAATATAAAATTCACTCATTTTGATTGGCATATTTTACCAGGAAGTACAGAGATGTGAGTGATAAAAGCATTACACATACTTTTCTTTGTAATGATGATATAGAAAGCAAATAAAATGATGAATTCAAGGTAACAAAATAATTTGACCACTTACAATACAGTTTGACATGATCAGTTCCTCATTTTACACACACACACACACACACACACACACACACAATCATCTCCTGGGTGTTGAGATTGACAAATATTATTTGAATATTTGAATGTAAGTTTTTGTAATACTGGTATATGTTATATTATTTATACAAAAAAGTAACCTAAAATGAATGACCTAAGTACACACTGAAATTAACAATTGTATTAGAACATGGGCAAACCAGTTTAGTGATATGATACAAATAAGAAAAAATAAGCTATTTATTACTGAGATTCTGAGTTTTTATAAAAATATTCCCTCATCTTGTGCTTCAAGTCTCAGAATTCCTGGTAATAATGAAGACAAAATGAGCAGAAAGGTAGGATTTGTTATTTCCCTGTCCATTGGTAGACGCCAGCTCTGGGGCTTCTCCTGGAACCCTTAGATGTATTCGTTTGATGATTAATTCATTTAACAAATAAAGATTAAAACCAGGCACTGTCAAATTTCCAGTAATAAACAAAATAGTCCTCGTGGTACTAGCATTTTAAAGGGGGATATAGATAATGAATCAGTAAGCAAAAAAAAAAACACAACAAAATATTTAGCAAAATATCAGCATATAACACAATAGCAGGCCACAGTTAAAGACATGTATAAAATATATTTGTTATATATAAAAATAGATTATATATATAATATATAACATATAATATATAAGTACATAAATAAATTATATATAACATATATATTATATATAAATATAAAATATAAAGTATATATTACATATTTGTTACAAATATATATATTCCAAATATATATATATTTGTTCCATATATATTTGTTCCATTTATATATATTTTTGTTCCATATATATATATGTGTTCCATATACATATAAAATATCAGAAACTGGGTAGAATAACAGGGAAAGAGGTCACGAGTCCTTTCTGGAGGCAGCATTTGAGCAGAGGTTGGAATGACACGAAGAAACAAACCATCCATGTATCTGAGGAGACCCAGGTACAGGGAAGAGCACATGCAAAGGCTCTGAGGCAAAAAATGAACCTGGTGTTCCAAGCAAGGAGGGTCAAGCGGCTAAGGTGGTCAGAGCGAGAGGAAAGAAGCAGAGTATGAGGCGGAGAGGTGGGAGATGTCAGGTTCTAGAGCTTCGTTAGAGCAAGCCCTTGGATGTTCAGTGCAGTAGGAAGACACTCTTAGGTTCTGAGCAGGATGGGATATGATATGATTTCTATTTTCAAAGAATTCCCTATGTGGGAAATTCTGGAAGAGCAAGAGCGGAAGACAATTAGGGACCTACTGCAGGAACGGAATCAGTTCACTGATGATGGTGAATTCAGAATAGGATATCAGTGGTGAAGAACGTAAGAACATATATTTGAAGGATTTACTTGTGGATTGAATGTGAGGTGAGCGGGAAAGCAGTCAAGGATAACTCTAAGGTTTTCTGCCTAAGTAACTGGGTGAAAGGCGGCATCATTGCATGGTATACACAGGAAGAAGCAGACTGTGGGAGGAAAGGGATGCAGCCGGTGGGTGGGGTGGGGGCGGTCCTGACCCTTGCTTTGCGCATATTAAGTGTGATGGGCCTATTAGTAATTCGGGTAAAGATGTAGAACAGGCAATTGATTAAAAAAAAAAAAAAAAAAAAAAGCCGGGCGCGGTGGCTCAAGCCTGTAATCCCAGCACTTTGGGAGGCCGAGACGGGCGGATCACGAGGTCAGGAGATCCAGACCATCCTGGCGAACACAGTGAAACCCCGTCTCTACTTAAAAAACACAAAACACTAGCCGGGCGAGGTGGCGGCGCCTGTAGTCCCAGCTACTTGGGAGGCTGAGGCAGGAGAATGGCGTAAACCCGGGAGGTGGAGCTTGCAGTGAGCTGAGATCCAGCCACAGTACTCCAGCCTGGGCGACAGAGCGAGACTCCGTCTCAACAACAACAACAACAAAAAGTCTTCAGTGCAGGTAAGAGATCTAAGCCAGAGCTATACACTTGGGCATTGTAAACATACATTTAATTCTAAACATCATGGGTCTAAATGAAACCAGCCAGCACGAATATAAGTATAGAAGAAAAAAGGCCCAGGGCCTCCAGTGTTTGGAGGCAGAGAAGATAAGAAAGATGCAGTACAGACGATGGGAAAGAGAAGGCCCATGAGGAAGAAGAGATCCAGTGCGATGTGTATGGGTCCTATGCCACTATTAATCAACCCGAAATCAGAGCGGCAGGTCCTTCACTTTTCCTAAAACACCCAGTTGTCTGTCCCTTCCAATCTGCTGTCTGTCATTATAGATTGGCAGTGTTTATACTTGGTACTGAGTTTTCCTGTGCCCTTTCCCATGAGGGGTGGCCGGGGCTATTTTAAACTTCTATTAATATAAGCTTGAGAGGCTGAGATTTTTGTTTGCTTTGCTCTCTGCACCTAGAATAGTGTGTGACATACAGCAGGGCCTTAAGATACTTGTGGACTGGCTTTGGGATGTAAGAAGAGTAGGAAACAGCACCAGTAGCCAGACAAATTCTGTGGGTTGACTGAAACTGTGTATTGGGAATATGAAATTTCTGTGATGCTAAAGGAATAAACTATAAACTCCACACATTTTTACATTTTGGTAGGCCCCCTTTAGACGCAGTACAACTTTAAATAGAAATACCTCTATGTGAAAAATGGGAAAGGGACTCTAAGAATGCAGAAAAAGTAGAGTCTTCAATATTTTAATTTGTAGACCACGCAAAAGCGTCAATCCCATTAGCATGTGTAAGAAGCCTAAAATAATTAGTCTTGAAGAGGTAAAGCATGTGGCAAGGCTTTTCAATAAAATAACGACTGAAATATTGTCCTTCTTAAAGCTATCCAGATCACCATAATCAGAAATGTCAATCACGGTATTAGGAAGAACAGGGACGGCCAGTAGAGTTTTCTAAGATGATAAAACTTTAAGGTGGCAACAGGACTTTTATGTACTTAAGTTTACATAATTGCTTCATTGCTCTGGGTGGTGTAAAAACCAAAAGATTGATACTTTTCAACTCACAGTATTCCAAGGACCCAGCTATTTCCCTTGTCCTCAGACACACACCTCTCATCACCTCTAAGCACTTAGAGAAACACTGATAGATTGCCTGTTTGTCCTTAAGATTGTGTATTTATATCAGTGCATCAAAGTGTATGTAAACATAAAAAGTACATAATTAAAATAACAACTTACACCTGAGTCTAATAACAATGGAGACAACATTGGGTTTTAAAAAACATTATGACAACTCTCATATACGACTCTCTAAATAATAAAAACAACAAATTACATAATATAAATATAAATAATTCTTGCATATTAATCCCACATCTTTTTTTAAATAAAGTTTCTATAACTCAGGAATTCTCAGTGTTAAATTTGAGATATATGGCAGTTCTGTCTTATACTCTGATAAACTGAGAATTCAGAGAATGTTGACTTCTCTCTCTTCTGGAAACAGTGATAGCAGTCATTCTACTTTTTATTTTTCTCTACTTTTCTAATATTGCATTCTTTTCTTTGAAGAAATGATCAATTTTGGCAGAACTTTATTAATAATGTGAAATACCACTATGCCAGAACTTATAAATTTCTCTCACAATTATGAGGGAATAGAGAGAAATTGAAGAGTGTCAATGACTTTGTTATTTCTAAAGTCTGTGATATTGAACAGAGTAAAATTATTGGTTCCCTAATGTGGTGAGGAGTTTCAGTCAAACTGAGGATACATTTTGAATAACTATAGTCTACTCATTTTTCAAAGCCAGGACATTGTCCTGTAGGGCTATGTTCAACTGAAAGAATTATGTGTATCGCTCTAATACTATGTTGCTCTAATACTATGTATACTTTATTACTTTCATTATAGGCATCTAATTCCAATATTTCTGAACTTCTCTAAAATGTAGGATTTTTTACAGTATATATAATAAGTTAAATCTAGGGAAGAATTGTTCTTGCCATGCATATTGTTATAGTCCTACAGAATTTTTAAATTAGAGAAACATCTCAATGATCCTCCGGTTACAAAGAACAAGGATAAGAAAATAGTGACAGATTGTGCATGATTGGACTATTACATTCTCAACTTAATGGCACACTGGATCCTCAAATAGGCTTCTATCCCCAGTGATTCTGAGTACTTTAAGTAATTTTTCTTTTATTGTATGTGTCCTACC